GAAGAGGGAGAGAGGGAAGAGGAGAGAGAAAGTGAAGAAGAAGGAAAGTTCTATTCTTCCGAGATAACACACACGAAGAGGAAAGAGAAATAGGGATTATGGGACACACGAAGAGCTGTATTTTATCTTATTCGAAACCACATTTTATTTATTTATTTATTTATTTTTATATATATATATTTTTTTTTTTGGTTTTGCTTCTTGGGCAAACGACCAGGATATGTGAGGTGATAAATCATGTATCCAATGTCTTTTAGGATTAGCAGTCAGGCACTATTATTGTGTCGGGCGTAGCAACACTTGCCGATAATTTGTTTAGATATTTAGCCATAATCATCATGCAAAAAGTCACTTTAACGATATGAACCCTTAATCTGCGACCTGCATAAATATTTTTTTTCATCATGCACATCCAAAATTAATGTATAAAATCGTGCATTTGGGTCGACAGTCTATGGCCCTGTTTGCCTCGAGGCACCCAGGCCACCAACGGTATCTATGTACCACAAAATATCCCAAGGTGACCTTTATATTAAGTCGGAAGGCCGTTTATAAATACATAATATTTTTGTCACCCTTTACCGAGTGATGATTTCAAAAACTTCAACAATGAACTTACATTAAAATCACAAAGTGGAACGTAAGAGATGTACCCACACCTACATAGACTCCAGATGTGGTACAAGTAGTCTCTGGTGTGGTACAGAAGGCTGCCGTCCTCACACAGTCTGTGATTCTTGGTCTCCAGCGCGTGACCGTCCAAGAGGTGACTCAGCGAACAAAGGCGTCCCCTTTTCTCTCTCTGGAGTGTCTGGGGGGGAGGGGGTTAGGAGCTGCCTTCGGGGCGGATCTCGCGTTCACGCCGACCCCGGCCGCCTTCCGTCGCTCCCGCAGGGCGCGCGCGTGCTTCATGCGCTCTCGCAACCCTCCTTTTGACCTGTCTTGTCTTCGGCTGAGACCTCCAATGCGTTCTTCTTAAGGTCCCACGGCTGCCATGAGTTCAAGGTTACAGCAACTCAGATCCTCAAGTCTTTCTAAGGAACGATCATGCAAGACGCCAACAGTGCGCATGGCAGACGAGCTACCTGCCCAGCTTGCACGCAGCATAAGTATCATGCCGACGCTGTGCATGGCAGCGATGGGTGATTATGAAGAACAGTGAGTGTGTGGAGTCCGGCGAACATGCTACAACTGACGTGGCCAACATGTACATTAGATTACACTGTATGTCTCTCAAAGTACATCCTTGTACATCCAGTCTGACGAAGGCGCTTAGAATTCGCAGGTCCTCTTGTAACAGTTCTCATGCCAGAACCTCATGTCAAAAATAGGCAGAATGAATTGAAATCCAGACTGCTTCCAAAAGTGCCCATCTCTTTTGGCGCCCCACGAATTGAAAGCCCTTTTGCAAAGCCTAGAGTGTCAAGGCTGTACGTAAAACAGTTGGACAATCTGCACATTAAATAGATTATGAGAAACGGTACACACATCGACCAATATTCCAGGAGACCAGCTCTTTGGATACACCCTAAATGAGTGCTTTAAAATATTCACCAGAGGGAACAATTACAGATTGATACGAAAATTAGAACAGTTGTTTGGTTAAGGTCTTGTATATTTTCATCCTTTTTTCCCAAAACCAAATCACATGTTTAAGAGTGGAGGAAGTTCGTTGGCTGTTAGCGAAGTATACCTACTTTACACAACATTTATGAACAGCAAAATAGCTCCTTAAAAAAAAGTCAATAGCTGCCCTGTGCGAATGGTAGGTTACATAAAGGCAGGTTGTGGTGGCAAAGAAAGGAGAGAGAGACATACCTAGAATGGCAACACTTGGCTCAGTTCTTGGAGAGGCCGTTTGACTTGCAACGGCAAATAGTCTGACAGCTTGCAGGCAATGTGACGTCACAACTATTGTCTTAATTGCAATCCTGCGAAGTGTTTCCTGATCCACAATAATCCCGGAAGTAAAACAATATCATATCCTAATGGTGTCCCCCGAATAATCAATGTCTTTTTATAGGTTTCGAAACTGTCACGAATCGGATTCATGAATATTAATTCTTTGACTGCGCTTTCAATATGCAAATTGATGCCAGCCTTCTGCATGTGTAAGGCAACTGAAGGTCAACTGCTTTTTGTTAATTTTTCTGTCTGAGTATTTGTTTTACCATCATATTGGAAAAGACGCGTGGCTGAAGAGGCGCCCGTTTTATGCAGAATGAGTGAATTGCATTCCCAAAATATAATAAGTTTTATTCAGCTCATATATTCATCAATCAGACAAGTCTATCTTTTCCACACAGTTTTGAATGGATTTGAGAAAAACGCCTTATGCAGAAGATAAATATCATGATATGATGTCACGTTCGCAAAAGAAGTATGGAACAGAACTCACTTCTACACTTTTACAGACATGAGATAGTACGAAATAAATCATGAGTTGGTAGAGTATCACCACCTTTATGTAAACCGCGGCATCTTTACAAAGAAAGATGTCAACGTTAGTTTTCTTTATATCTTTACATTCTAACAAAGAAGATTATTTCCTCGTAAAATACATATTTCCAATTGCCACTGAAACAAACAAACAAACTTCTGGATTTCATGCATATCAATTTTTCAATAGATGAATATTCTTACTTTTATTGTGACACTGCCACAAAAGCAAGCTCAAAAGTATAAGATTCATAAATAATTGATTGATATATATTACAAAATATGTCATTGAAGCGACACATCTAATCGTACATGTCAGATTAAGACTTATACAGGAATGATTAAAAGAACTGCTATATTGTACAAAATATATGTATATGGCAATGTATAACAGGTACGTCGAACTGGTGAATTTTGTTAAACAAATCTTTAAATAGCAATAAAATATGACCATATTTTTTCCCAATATAATTTGATCAGTATGGCAAAATAAGCCTTCATTTTCTTCCCTGTTTCCATCGGAATGAACACCACAAAAACATAAAAAAAATAAATCAACCTGCATAATTCTAGAATATCTTCCATCAGCGCGTCAGCACTGGTGCAGGAGGTGGATAAAAGGGGAGGAGGAATGATAATAATCATTACTATTTTCTTTCTTTCTTTCTTAATTTATCATATATTTCTCATTGGCTTTCCTTCCGCCCACCTCCCCTATTTGCAAAAAATGTCAGGGATCAGGACTGAAGCCGAGGCTGTGCCCTACACTACTACTGTACGGGAAGGTGGTGGTAGATTGAACAATGCTAGTTCACTTCTCATCCCATTCGCGCCTTATAACGAGAAGCTCTATCATTGTTCAAGTAATGTTCATCACTTCACATATTATGCTTTATTTTTTTTATTTTGTTTTTTACTAACTATATTTCATATATATATATATATTCATTTATATTTATATATATATCCCTATGTATTGAGCCACATATACAATATATTACAAAGAGACCCTAACAATACTCACGGCAAGATAATTGTGTATTGTACATGATTTTCGCATAACAAAAAAGCAAAATATATTACCATTACAAACAGTTTCCATAAAGAATTCACGATAGCTACTTTACCACCGTCTATCAAACAATATGAAATAGACCCACTATTTGGGCTTCTTTTAAAAAACATTTAAGTTGAAATGGCCTTCTAAAAACACAGTCCTAACCCATTCTCTCACAGCTAACTACGACAATTTGGAAATGCATAGATGTGTGGATATGCCGCACTCAATTTAGGTTCTATAAGACAAAAATATAGCTTAATGGTTAAGAAAAGAAAGAAAGAAAAAATATTTTGTGACTAGGACACCCTATGCTAGAGAAATGCCATATTTTTAGGTTTATTGGCTATTCCTTTAGCTTTTTGTTTTGTCAGGCTTGCATATGTGGATAATGATATATATTGATATACTTTATGGCTTTCCTTTCCAGAATCAAAATCAAATGCCAGATAGATTGATATAAAAAGGAGAAAACTGAACCGTAAACTGTTCAGCAGACGCAATGACGTCATGAATCAAAGTCGAAAAAAAAATCAAAGCAAAAAATGGAAATGAAAATAAAAGAGAAAGAATAAAAATAACAAACAAAATTCAACAAAAGAAGTGTGACTGGCGGCACTCCAGGCCCGCTGTGCACTCCCTGCTCTACCTCGAGGTTGTTCATCGTCGTCGCCAGCACACCGCCCGCCAGCGCTCAGATGCCCCTCTGCCCGGGGGCGCTTTTGGCGTCAGGGACAATGGGAGCCGGTTTTTGTTTTTGTTTTTGTTTTTGTTTTCATGAGTTATAATAATTGTAGGTGTCCATGCACTGGTGCGCCCCGGACTGGTTGTTTTTTGGTGGTTTGTATGCGAGAGAGAGTGTGTGTGTGTGTGTGTGCGTGTGTGCGTGCGTGTGTGCGTGTGCGTGTGCGTGTGCGTGTGCGTGTGCGTGTGTGTGTGTGTGTGTGTGTGTGTGTGTGTGTGTGTGTGTGTGTGTGTGTGTGTGTGTGTGTGTGTGTGTGTGTGCGTGCGTGTGTGCGCGTATGCGTGCGTGTGTATCTGTGTGTGTGTGTATACATGCGTAGAACCCGGGGTTTCTCAAGATCAGGTCACCAGTCCGGCGGCGTGGGCGGCAGGGGGCAGCAACGCTCGCCTGGCTCGGGCGTGCGGTGGGGACGATGAGCAGTGTTATGGCCTACCTAGTCTAGCAGGTTGCAGAGTCTAGCACTGCACTCACATTCTACTGGGAGTAACACTGGCTAGATGACCATTTGGGGGTCATCGCTCGTGGTTGCCTATCAGATACGCTCGGTTCCTTGTATCCTGATGTACAACATCATCGTCCCATTGACGGGAGGGGAGACTGAAGGAAAAAAATGAAATAAATGAAAAAAAAATCTACCTCACAATCTGCGTCATATATGTCTTTTCTTAAAAACTGTCACTTGATGCGTGTCCTCGATTGAGCGAATGGGACGCCCTCCAGCCGCGGCGGTCGCCCTGCGCTGCTGGGGGGGAGGGAGGGGCGGTGGGGAGGGTGGGCATGGGGCACGAGGGCAAGCGCTTCACTCGGGCTTGAGGCGATGCCACTGGACGACGTTTTGCCGGGGCTTCGTGATCATGTCGCTCCAGTGCTTGGTCTCCGAGGTGCCGCTGCCAGCCTTGCCTGCGGAAGACGCCGGGTTAGCGCTTGGGGTCGACTCGAAGGGGGGCTGAGAAGGAGCTTAACTACGGGCGCACGTACACCATGAAAATGTCTCTCGCTCTCGCTCTCTCTCTCTCTCTCTCTCTCTCTCTCTCTCTCTCTCTCTCTCTCTCTCTCTCTCTCTCTCTCTCTCTCTCTCTCTCTCTCTCTCTTTGCTCTCTCCCTATTCTTCCCTAACCCCCTTTCTCTTTCTCTCTCCCTCCATTTCCCCCTCTCTCCCTCTCCCTTCATCCTCTCTCTCTCTCTCACTCACTCTCTCTCTCTCTCTCTCTCTCTCTCTCTCTCTCTCTCTCTCTCTCTCTCTCTCTCTCTCTCTCTCTCTCTCTCTCTTTCTCTCTCCCTCCCTCCCTCCCTCTCTCTCTCTATCTATCTATCTCGCTCCCCCTTTCCCTTCTCCCCCTCCCATCCCTCCTTCCCATCCCCCCCTTCCTATCCCTCTCCCTCTCCTTCCTAACCTTATCCCTGTCCCCCTCCCCTCCCTCCCCCATCCTTCCCTCACTTCCACCCCCATTTTCCTCCCATTTCCTTCCTCACTCCCCCCCCATTTCCCATCTCCCTCTCTCCCTCCCTCTGCCCTCCCATCCCTCATCATTCCTTCCCTCCCTCCCTCCCTCCCCCCTTTTCTCCCTCTGCCCTTCCATCCCCCATCATTCCTTCCCTCCCTCTGCCCTCCCATCCCCCATCATTCCTTCCCTCCCTCCCTCCCTCTGCCCTCCCATCCCACATCAGTCCTTCCCTCCCTCCCTCCCCCCTTCCCTCCCTCTACCCTCCCATCCCCCATCATTCCTTCCCTCCCCCCTTCCCTTCCCATCCCTTCCCTTCCCTCCTTCCCCCCTTCCCTTCCCTTCCCTTCCCTTCCCTCCCTCCCTCCCCCCTTCCCTTCCCTTCCCTTCCCTCCCTCCCTCCCCCCTTCCCTTCCTTTCCCTTCCCTCCCTCCTCCCCGAACCTTACCCAGCATGATCTTTCCGATGGCTTCGTTCCTCCCAACTTTGTCATGGTCCATCACCGTCACGTTGAGCTGGCACTCCCTAATCCTCTCCCACGGAACGTCGAACTTGACGCTGAAGTGGAACTCGGGGTTGAGTGTGCAGAACTGGACCTCGGACTTCTTCTTCTCTATCCGTTTCTCGCCGAAGTACAGCCAGACTTTCACGTACGGATCTGTGAGTGTGGGAGTAGGGAGAGAGAGAGAGAGAAAAAAAAAAAGACGTAAATTAGATGTCATTTACTTATCAATTGTTTTATTGATTGATTGTGTGATTGATTGATCTATCTACTCATTTATCTGTTTATTCATTTATTGATTTATTCGTCTATTTATCTATTCATCGATTTATTCATACGTTTATGTATTTATTTTCTTTTTACACTAGAAAGTTGCATAGGCCGGACACCCTAAAGCGCTCATGGGGTGATGGTGGAAAGGGAGGGAGGTTTGTTAAGAAGGGTTCGGAGTTAGACTTGGGTAAGGGACTGAGGGTTCGAGTTAGGGGCTTAGGGTATAGGTAAGGGTTGTAAGCAGGAGGACAGGAGGGTATGGCATAATAAAGGGTTTAAGAACAAAGAGGGTAAAGGGTAGAACTAATGAGGTTCGAGGTTTCATAATGGGTCTCAAAAGGGGTATGACTGAAGCAATAATAAAACACAGGGTCAATGTAGGTAAAAAAAAAAAAGGCAGTGGGGGTAGAATTAGGGTATTGGAGAAGGTATGGGTAGGGTTTTGATGGGTTAGAAAGGGGGTAGAGGATCGAAAAGGTAGGGGAAGTTGGGGTGGGAAGGTTAGGGTATAGCAGCGAGGGGGGGGGGAGAGGCGTAGGGAAGAGGGCACTGACTTGGATTCTAACAGGGAGTCCAAAAAAGGACGAGCGGGTGGGGGGTGGTGGGGGGGGGGAGTGGGGGTTAAGATATTAAATATTTAGAGGGGGTGAAAGTAAAGGAGAAGATATGGTGAGTTAAAAAGGATATTAAGGATTTAGAGCTTAACGTATCGGGGGAGAAGATAAAAGAGAGAGTATTGGGAACAAGATGCAAGGGGAAGAAATCGAATTAGATAATTAAGGTTTTATTCGGAGTCACCGAGGAATGGCTCAGTTGTGTCGCTGATAAGGCACTGCGTATAGTCTTTATAAAACACAGTTATGATAATCAGTTTATACAATACTACACAGTCAACAAAGACATTAATTCGCCCATTTATCC